CTCCTCCACCCGCGGCTTCCCCGGCCGCCCCACGGGGAAGGAAGAGCTCATTTTGTATTTCCCAGGAAAAAGAAAGAAAGAAAGAAAAAAAAAAAAAAAAAAAGAAGTAAAAATTAAAAGCCCTGGCTCCCCCCACCCCTTCCCGCAGGACTCGCAGCCGCAGGGCAGAGTAGAAAGTTCAGCTCGTTCATGGTTGACATTTTCCGACCGGCCCGATTTTAGGAGTGAAGCGGCACTGCAGAGCCGTGCTGAGTGGGGGGACTACCGGGACCCAGCCGTGTTCGCCCACCGTTCAGCACAGCTCCCTCAGAGCGCAGCTTCGCTGCAAAGGTCCCCAGCGATGCTCCAGCGCTGGGGCATCCTCTTGCTCTTGGCCCCTTCCACTGAGACTCAGGATGCCCTGCAGCCACCTGCTATCTCCATGGGCAGATGCAGTCTAGACACTGCAAGATACATGCTTAATTTAAGGCTAATTAAGCCAGCTGAACCAGGCAAAGTTGTTAATAACAGATCAGAAGACATGTCATCTTTGTCAAACATGTTCAGGACACCCAGCTTCTCTTTATCATTCAGACAAAGGGAAACACTGCTTTTAATTTGGCCCCAGGATTTAGGCAGCACGGAGCAAACAAAGAGAGAAGGGGCAAGCGAGGTCTCAAGCAGCACAACAGAAGCCAGGGAAGCCAGAGCAGTCATGCAAGTAAAGGTTGTTAGAAGGATGCGAGCAAGACAAAAGCACAAACATTGCTGAAACCATCACACTCTGCTCTGAAATAACAATTGTGCTGATCTTATTATGAGTTCTGGTTCTTTACATCAGACTTACTTCTTGTAATCGGGAGAGAAGACAGCAGCCTCTGACCCAACCCAGGAGCCCATTGACTCGGTGTCAGCAGAAAGGATGCTTTTCTCATTGGAGTACTGAAAATAATCCCTGGAAGGAGACAAGTTCAAAGGCACAAAGCTACATCCTCAGCCCCAGCTTATCTCCCAGGAGACTTTCTCCTAAAGAGCTGGAGTGACAGCACTGACTGCAGTGACAGTAGGAAGCCACCCGAGACCTCTCTGCAAGTACCAGAATAAATTATCTGTTTTCTCAGGCTTTTGAGACCCCACATTCTCAGCGCAGACCAGACAAGATGCTGTATAGGAAAAACTCCATATACATTAGAGGAAGCTGGAGAACCTCATCCTTTTGAAGAGTCCAACAAAGTCACAAAGACATGGAACTGTGAGGTGGGACTAGGGAATCTCACAAATGCTTCAGATCTCTGGCTACTGAGCCAGAAAACAAACGATGTTCCAGGTTTGCCTTGTTTTGAATGCCACTGCTAGAAAAGACTTTAAAATGTCAATGGTCCCAGGTCCTGGAAAGACACAATTGGTTTCTGTTAAATCATGGCTTCTGTTAAAAATACAGCATTTTAGCTTTCATAACTAAGAAAAGCTTGAAAAGCATATGATCTCTACACATCTGTGTTCTTAGGAAAGAGGGGATAAACAGAAAGCATTCAATAATAAACGTCAGGAACCGCAGCCAGCCTACAGTGCGTCCTGCTGTGGGCCACCATCTTCTGGTCCACAACAAGCTCCCATCAAAACCTGCATCTTAGCTGTATGGTTGCAAAGGAAACATTCATGTTAGAGACTGATGGTAAATCAGTGCGACGATAACTGCTGAAGCTGCAAGGACCCTGAAAGAGCAGCTAGCAGAGCAGTGGGGAACACTGGGTTAATCTGAGCAGGGCAGCGAACACAAGCCTGGCAGTGCCAACGCAAACATTAACCTTTAGCTAACATGCAGCTGATCAAGCGCTCCAGTAAAGAGCATAAATTGTTGCCCTGTGTGCATCTGCACAAGCTACTCTGACATTTCAGCCTGTTGTCACAACCACACAGCCATGGAGCTTCACCACAGCCTGGCTGGACAGTTCGGCCTGACCCCACCACCAAGAAGGGGGAGCAGGAGAGGCGGGCAGCGCTGTGCTGCCAGGGCACCGGGAAGGAGAGCGGAGAGTCCTCCCTACAGCACAGGATACCGAGGAGCAGAGTTGAAGCACATATATGCAGTCAGAGCAGCAACTGAGACTGACTATTTGCTTAGCAACATTTTGAATATATTCAGGCCTGGCTGGTAGAGGAGGAAGAGAAGCACCACAAAAGCCAGTTGTTGCAATTAAGAGTGATCGGTTCCTAAAGCTTACTTGAGATACGGGACACCTTTCCTTGGGTCCATGCAGGCATCATACCAGCTATCACATCCCAAAACAACAGCAGGGTCAGCTCTTGTTCCTGATGGCTGTGGTATCTCAGACAATAGCAGCGAAGCCATGACGGCAAGGGAAAATGGTGGCTCTTGTCCAAAGTCTTCCCCCCACACCTTCCCTCTGTGCTGCAAATGGTGGCTGCACGCTGAGCGCTTGCAGACGAGGCACAAGTGTCAGAACAGACCAGACATAACGGCAGCAACGGAGTGCTGAATGTGACATGTCTTTTTCCCTGGAACATACGAGTGCCCCGGCTGATGAAAGGGGCAATGGGCTGCCTACCTGTTGGCACCCAAAGCCTACGCTGGTATGACACTCAGCACAGTCTAAGAACCAAAGAGAGTTAATTCCTTCCCTGCCCCCCAGCACCAGCTCCTTCTGGGCAGGGTACGGGCACATTCTGGAGCAGTTTCCCCCCCTTCCCTGCCCCTCTGGACAGTCGATCCATCCCTTGGCTGCCCTCTGGCACTGGTGCATACTCTCTCCTTTAACAAAACCAGTTTTTTTCCCTGTGACAGTGCAGATCTTCCAGCACAGGAGGAGGAGGGAGCTGTAAGGAAGGACTTGAGGTGGAAGACAGGGAGAGCTCAGGGGTAACAAAGATCTGAACCACTGTTCACATGACTTAAAAGAGCAAGGGCTCGGGAGACATGGTGCTCTTCCCTGCATGCAAAGCAGCTTCTCCCTCGCAGCTACACGGCTGTTGGAGGAGTTCCTCCTGCTGCTGGGGCACTGAGGTGCTGACAGCACAAGTAGAGTCCAGGGAGAATTTAAAGTACAAGGAAAAGCAAACAAGCAAACCTCCCTTCTTGTTCAAGCGTTTTGTGAGCCTTCAAGCGTGAGGAAGCCCCAGGATGCATCAAGAGGTTGAGCACTGCAAACGTCTCCACAGTTTGAGGGTTTCCTGCTATGGTCCCCAGCTCCCTTGGCTCCCTGTACCCAGCCTGGCAGCTCAGCTCTTTTCTGAGATGTTCTTGGATTTCTGCAAGACTGTTCCTGGAGCTGTCATGAGTGAAGAACAACCAGGTCAGCAGCAGAGAATTCTCCCAAATCATCTTTAGGCCACTTGAAGAAAGAGGGGGAAGATTTCTGGAGAAACTCACTGACCCACAAAGAAAACAACAAAGCTTTTTTGTGTTTTTTAAGAAGAAAAATGTATATAATGTTTCTAATTTCTCATGGGTTTCATTAGGGTAATCTACAGTGCCTTCAAATTACACTGCCAACACTCATAACTCCCCTTGCCAGGTGTTGCCTTTACTTGTTCAGTGCCTCAGTTTACCCACAGGGAAAGAAACTTGCCCAAGTTTGTAAGACAGTGTGACAGAACTGGGAATAAGCTCAAAAATACCTGTCCCCAGCCCTGCACTCAGGGTTCAGGGCACCTGGAAAACAGACCTCCCTCCCAAAGGAAAACCACATCGGCCTGGCCCAGGGATGGCTGTTTTGCACGTGCTGCTATGGCACTGTCCGTTTTCATCTCAGCTGCTATACCAACAAACCCAAATCCCCTTTGGACTCTTGCTCATTTCCAATTCTACATCTGCGAGTCTTCATGAATAATGCCGCTCTGATCTCGCTGCTTCAAGCTCCCTGCTCACCTCGGAGATGGACTCCTGGGCTGGCTAATCCCATTTATTTCCCACTTGCCCCCAGTCTCAAAACCACCGACCACGACACCTGTTTTCCCAGACTCCCATCCCCATCCTCAGGTGGGAGCAGAAGTCGTGCAAGTTCCCAGCAGTCTTCCCAAGCTGCCCCCTCAGGCCGTGGCGAGGCACAGCTCAGTAGCAAAGCAAATCTCAAAACGCAGTTGCATAACATGAAGCAAAAGAGGAAGGGAGGGAATAATCTTGCCCATAAAATGACGAAGGCAACAGCTGCAGAGCTTGCTGGCTGCCACTGCACCTGCGGGGAGAGCAGGGCAGCACTGCCGACCTTGAAGATTTGGGCTAAGGGGAGAGGGACAGGCAGAGGGAAGAGGAACAACGTGTGGGAGAGGATTCAATGGCAGAATAAAATGTAAATACATCTTTTGACTTTGATTTGCTACAAGACATCCCCAGGTTCTTCTTGGATCTCCCAGGGCCAGCTGGGGAAAGTTTGTACAGGCAGGTGAAAACAATCCAAGGCTGACAGGGCATGAAGTGGGAAGAGAAGCCAAAGGGGACCACACAGAGAGTTGCTAGCCTGAGTATTTTTGACTTATGAGGCTGTTGGACCAGGTCAGATGCTCAGACCTTATCTTGGTTGTTAGTCACCCTGTGGTCTCTGGCACAGTGATCATCCACCAGCTGCTACCCGCCCCCCCGCCACCAGGCTGCAATCTTCCAAGAAGCAACCTCTGCCTTTTGTAAGTCACTCTACCAAGGTGAGTTCAAAAAGTCTATCATCTACCATGTCAGTCTTGACCAAAAGCTGAATTTGATCGTAAGACACAACTCCAGAGGTGTGCACACTCCAAGCTGATGGGATGCAAGCAGCCGTGGTCCCAAAGCTCTCCAGCCTCGTTAGCTTAATGATGGTGCTCTAGCTAATATGGCAAGCACTGTGCCAGCGTAGTTACCTGGCTTCTGTCCTACCTAGGGACAGTGCACATGGGCTTGGATCTTCCTCCGACTGTCCTTATACTTCTGGACTGGATCATACTTTATGGCAAATGCTTGGTGAAAGGATGCTTTACTCCCTGTGGAGCCTCCTCTGTAGTTTCTCCACTGGATTTGTCTTGTTTCAGAAGCGCTGCTGGTGCCGGTCTCTGAAGTGCTCACTGATTGTCTTCTCTCTGATCTCGGCTCCGTCTGTTCTTTCCCTCCTCCTTGCAATTTGAATTGATACTATTGACCAGGGCATCTCCTACAATCATTTGACCTACAGCAGCTGTCTGAGAACAGCATCTTTGCTGTGATTTATTTAAAAAAAAAAAAAAAAAAAAAAAGATTTTGCACTGAATTGCACCCATTCCTTGACGGCAAGGCTGCGGTAGCATCACCACCTTTCAGCTTCGCATTCAGCCATCTGCTCTCAAAGCAAACCCCATGTGTTATTGCTTCTGTGATGTGTGGGATTCCTTTTCTGCTTGAGGTCTTCTCCTCCTCACCTAAGTCGTTCCAGTTTTGGAGCTGTGTCAAAAATATTCTCTAGTTCAGTGGGAAGTTTTGCACCTGCAGGCTCCAGAGTCAAAAATGCCTAAGTGTTGAATAAATATTGTAGCTCTGTCTTGAGAATGATGTACTTATGCCACATCATAAAGCACTTTCCAATCCATTAGTAACTAAATAGGATGTTAAACAGCAACTGTTAGCAATAAAGACTTAAAATCAGCAGGCACAGATAGCTCGCACCCACGAGTCCTACAAAAGCTGCCTGAGGGTATCTCAAACCCGCTTATTCGTTTTTGGGTTTTTTTGTTTTTTTTTTTAATAACGCTTGAAACAAAGAAATTTCAGCAGACATATGGAGTATAAAATGTGGCAATACTCAAAAAAACCAAACAGGATGATTAAGTAAGGAAAAAAAAACTAACTAGCTTGATAAAAACCAGCATCGAGAAAATAATGAAAAACCCAGTAGGGAGTTTATTATAAAAGCATTTGAAGATGGGTGTACAACTTC